TTTACTTGGAGTCATATTCTGCGCTTCCCGATCTTTCCCTTACCACGGCGCTTGTTTTTAGCTATTTTCAATTTCTTTTTCATTTTCTTCCCTATTCCACCAACAGGCTTTAAGGAAGCCATGATTTGACTGCTGTCAGCCATCTCCACCTCTGAAATTTAAAAGCAAACAGAATTTATTAGATTTTTATTGCAAGGTTATCAGATGCCAAGAAATAACTAAAGGAAAGTATGCATTTGGGACATTTAGCAAAACATTTTTACTATGCAACATAGCTTTCACAACCATATGGTTGGTGCTCAGAAAGATCACAAATGATAAGCAGGATAGAGCAACGCCATCTTTTAAACACAGTTCCAATCAGCATGAAGAACAGAGTGACCGATTTAACTCTTGGCTTACTCATGTAGAGCATAGTAACAATTAGAACAAGATGAATTCACTCTAATCAACCTCGACATATATATATAAATAACATTATATCATAAAAACAAACATATCAATAGTACTCTAGAAGAGGGAAGGTATAAAATAATGAATTATTAAGTAAAAGAAGTGATATGCTACCCATGTTGGTGTTGCTAGTGGAAGTGGTCACTTCCATGGTATTATTTGATTTCGAAGGAACCTCCAACTTCGGTGCAGCAAGAGCAGCCTCCTGGGCAGCCAGCTTAGCAGCTTCTTTCTTGTCATAGAAAGGTTCAACAAGCTCCCTTCGAATTGCCCTCAGCCTCTTCTCCTTCTTTGATCTCAAAGACTTTGCCATTCTCTTGTACTTTCTTTCACCTTGCTATACTTCAATATGGATTTCACAGTATTACTTGGGGCCTGCTAAGAATAAAATTCATCTGTAATTAGTAATTCAATTTAATGAATTCTAGTATATGGCACAAATTTTACAATTTATTTAAATAAATTCCACTGATTCAGATATTTCAAAATTAATAGAATCAATTTGAAATCCAAATTTAAGAACAACATCTTGTATATACGGACGACAAATGAATTCCATGAAATTCTCTGCCCGCGTTCCACAAAGACGCCATAGAACTGATCAAACTACACACATAGGTAGCACGAGGTATCCAACAAAATGAATTAACCTAACACTAACACGAGTTCAGAAGGAACGCATGAAACATGTAAAAAAATATATATATAATAGCAATCAAAATCCTTCCCCAAAGTACCCGAAACCATAATATTCAACTACACTTTACAAAAAATAATCTTGAACAAGTCCATTATTTTTTCTTCCTTTATAAAGGCAAAAGTTGAACACGAAATTTAATACAAAGAGATAATGAACACAAAATAAGGATGTTTGTTTACCTGCCTTGTTTGGTTAGTGGAATCAACAGACAGCACCAGAAACGAATGCAAACTCCGGCTGCGGACTGTGCTCTATGAAAGAGGCGCGGTTTACTGTGTGAGGCTTTGTTAGGTTTTAATATGAGAAGGGAAATTGCACGAGGATAGAATAGTCTTTTACAGCAAATGAATTATGGGTGGGCCTATATGGGCTGCCGGCCCAATCCTTGAAGTTTTTCAAGCCGTGTTCCATTCTTCCTTTGGCGAAAAGAAAAACTCTTAACTTAGAAAATAACTGTGGAAAATAAAATTAAAAAAATTTCTTAAATTTTAAAATTCAAATAGTTTTTTTTTCAAACTATTGATTGTGTTGAGTTTCTGTTCTTTTTAAAATTATGTTTGTATTTGTACTGTGTTATTGTGTTTTTATTTAGACTAACATTGATACAT